TTTAGAACTTATGATTCTATATGTAAAAAGTTTCTACTTGAACATTATATAAATAAAAAAAAAAAAAAAAAAAAAAAAAAAAAAGTTTAGATGAACTCTACAAGATCAAGTTCTTGTTAATAATCTATAAAGTAAATAAATTAGTTAACAAAAGAAGGTTTTTTAAGCTTTTTAATAAGTGTCATTAAATACTAGTACAAAAAAAAAATTAGTTGCTATTTAGATAGTATATAATATGTATATATAAAAGTTTGTAATAGTTAAATAATTTATAAAATAAATAATTAAATAGTTTAAATAGATAAACTTATAATAGATTATAGGTATAATTTATTTAGTATAAAACTCTAAAGTGAATTACTTAAATAGCAATCAAAAATTATATATGCAATTTGTTATGTTTTCATCTTTATAAAAATAATTAGAATAACTAATTCTAAATATATCAATAAAATTTTATTGTAAAATAATAATAAATAATAAAATTTATAATTATAATTAAAAATTGAGCGATACTATTTGTACACCCACTTTTGCTATTCATACGCTCCTCCCATGTAAAAAATATTTAGCTAATTTTTCATATAACGTAGTATAGTATGTATTTCTTTTTTTTTTATAATAATAATAATAATAATAAGTTTATATAATATGTAGTATATCCACTTATTAAATATTAGACTATTGCAACTGCTTATACCTGTTTGTATATACTCAAAAAAACTAAGAAAATAACAATATGGCTAATTTAGATCACAATCTAATGCTAATGCTAACTTGCAAGACTGATTAATTAAAATTGCAAGTGATTTGCAAATATGACCAAAGTTATAAATAATCAGTTCAAAATCAGCATCATGAATAGAGAATGTAGCCCAAGCTAAGAATAGTTCAAACCATAAATGTAACACATAGATAAGGTATGTATAAGCTGGTTGGGTTAGATTTATAACAATATAGCTTAACAGATTAGGGTGTGCGATATCAAATAATCAACAAACTGTTAATGTGCATATAAATAGAGCTAAAAATTTTCTAAAATTTAATCGAAGCATATATGAATTTCGATTTTTATTACTTTTAAACCAGTGCATCTACTCAGATAAAAATATAATTTTTTAGATTCCTCTTAGCATGCTTTATAATGCTACAGACACCTTTTCATTTTATTAACATCAACTGTGTTTTGTAGTTAATTTCGCTTTAAAATAGGTAAAATTAAAAAAAAAAATGGCTCTGTAGTATTATAAAGAAAACTAAAGATTATATTTTATCTGCATAGGCACTGATTTCAAAGTTCAGGTTCTAAAAATTAATTATACATATGCACTTATTTGATATCGCATATGATGCAAATCATATTCTAGATAAGTATCAAGATTAATAAGCATAGCATTATGTGTAGTACATACAGGTTCAATGCTAATTCTAACACAATCATGCAACTACCAGTAATTTACAAAACCTATGCTATGTATACGTACATACAGTATTCATAGCAGCAATATATTTACAACCTAATGTTAACAGTTATTAATAAAAGTGAATTAGATTTTAGTTGGGCAAGTACTAGCATAGTGTCCAGTCTGTTTGCAGAGGGTGCATCGCCTTACTCTATATTCCATTAATTCAAACCCAGAAGGATCTCTTCTGGTTGAATTATCTGTTCTGCGATTAGAGGAACCAGGAGGTCTTCCTCTAGTACGAACAACTTGAGGATTCTGCAAGACTGTTGTTGAGGTATTAATAATGCTGTTTAATTTTTCCCGGGCAGTTGCTTGCTGATGTTCTGGCCACTCTTTATACCTTTCTTGTAGAGCTTGCAAAAAAGGTTGTAATTCATTGTTTCCCTTAATAGGTAGTATCAGTGAGCAGTTTTGAATCCACCAATGTTTATGAAAATCATCAAGTGTTAAACCTTGATGATTTTCAAGAAGTTGGATTTTATGAGCATATGGTAGTCCCATTGTGCTCGAAAAAGATCCAGTACACAGTGGTAAAGATTCTTGTATAATCTTCTGATACTGCTCTTCCATCTTTTTAAGGGCAAAAGTTGAAACTTTGCCCTTAATATTTTCATATAAGGAATTATTTTGAGCAAAAATTGGAAAACAGATTTTTTCTGATGCTGCCATAGTATCTATTTCTTTTTTTTGATTTTTTACTGCTAGAGAAATTTTTATACAGACATCACGAAGATCTCCTGCTAATATACAAAGATATGTTTTAATAGTTGCATGCACACCTTCGACCTAGGAAGTAATAGTTGTTCCTAAATAAAGAAGTTTGTTTGTCCATGCTTTTATATATTTTTCTTTCCAAGGCATCCAAATGTCTTCGAAATAGCTTATAGCGTTGGGTTTATTTGAATAATTATTATAAAACTCATTCCATTTCATATTGAATTCTTCTTCTGTTAGTGATTAAACAACCTTATTCCATTCTAAAAGAAAGGTTTGCCATTCATTATCTTCGAATTGTGATTTACAGTTCTTCATTATATTTTTATTAATATGCCACAAACATAACAAATTAGTTGAATTCGAAAAGGTTGTTCTAAGAGCATTCATAAGAGCTAGCTCTCTATCTGTTACTATAACACCAGGTGATGTTATGCCATCAAACAATCAGGCAATGCAATTTAATGCCCAGAGATAATCTTCTTCATCTTCATCTTTCTTAAAGATAAAACATGAAAAAAAAGTAGTGTTGAAACAGGTTATTCCAATAACATTTAACAAAGATATTTTAAATTTATTTGTCTTATAGGTACAATCCATAAAAAGAACAGATGAATATTGATGAGTAAGCTTATTGATTTATTATGTGTAAAGAAAAGGTGAGTAATTTGACCAATATCATTACTTTTGTATTCATACATGTAATCACCCTCTTTAAACTTATTTATTAATGCTTCAACTGGAGTATGACCAGCTAACTTTTGTTGACGAAGTCGTTTACGTGCATTATAAATATCTTTACTCCTCACAAATGCTGATGAATTATTTTGACGAATAATTGATATAATTTTCCGAGGACATGAGCCAGAGGAAGTTATTTCTGTAATATTTGCTAATAGTTGCTCTGTAAGTCAACAAATCATTGGATGTCCTGATAAGTCTTCAGAGGGATCATGGTTATAATCACTATTACGAATCTTCTTTATATGCCATTTACCATCAAGCCGAACAGCCTTTAACTCACAAGGACAATTGATTAACCGAGTACTTGTTTGCCTTTGTTGTGTTCTGAAGCTTCTATAAACTCCTCCTCAATCACAATGCAATGTTATATTTTTTAAGTTACCATGTCGATCTTTACATGTTCTTTTTTTAACCAACACATAACCTTGAGAATTAGCAAATGCTTGAACATTTTGAAGAAGTTCATTAGCACTTTTATATATTTTAGGAGGTGGTGGTAGCATACTTGTAATTATAATTTTATTTTAAAGGATAACAGAAAAGTGGTTTATTTTTTTTTTGAAGTTTAATAAAAAGCACTTATTGCACTTACTCCTTTTTTTAGTTTATAAATACCATTATTACTTCATTTTTATGCATCTTATAGTAATGCTTTACTATTACTTATCACTAATTGATTCTTTACTGATTAATGCATTTCGAAATATATTATTGATTAATATCGATGCATATGAATACTACAAAGAAAAAATGAAGCTTCGGACTTTCAATTTATTATTTGTTAGTTATCAATTCAGCTCATAAAAAGTTTAATTATATACATTGCTAGTAGGGCTGAATCTGGTAAATAATAAATATTAAAAGCCCAGAAGTCTTATTTTCTTTGTAGTATTCATATAAGATATAACTGATAATAAGGATGTTAATATATCAAGATATTCATAGAATAAAAAGTGAAAATATGTCAAATTGGACAAAATAAAGTATCTTGCTAAAAAAGGCTTTGGCACTGTTTTTAAGACAGTATGGATTAATGGATATATTACAGGGTTTGATTATCAGAATAATGAATAGAAAAGATGTTTGCGAATAGGTGTTTGTTTAAAAAGTCTTGATAATTCTAAAGACATAAAACAAATTTTTAGAAGTAAGTATTATAATTAATTTTGCTGCAGGCGAAGCTGAAAATCTTAAATATGAAATTTTCAAAATTTTTTAGAGTGCATTTTTTAAACTTTTTTTAATTGAGATCCCTAATTACTAGCTTCAGCCGTAACACATTTATTATGATTAAAGTTTAGTAATCTTACCTATTATAATTAATATTTGTTAGGTTAAAAATCAATATGAACATGGGGCAATTTAGCAATTACAATTTATGGAATAACTAAAGGCCCAAAAGATAGTAATTACATGATTATCATAAAGCATGCAAAGCAAGGAAGTCTCTGAAAATTATTAGATGATAAAAATAATAAACTAGATTGGGCTTCTAAAGTAAATTGAAATGATTAGATATAGTGACATACCCAATATCGCTTTAAGAATTTTAACAAGATTATTTTTTATGTTATTAGTCAGAATATAATCTAATTCAGATATTTATTCAATTAAGAACTGAGTAGTAAATTTTGTAACCATATATACTAGTTCTTTTAGTATTGGGATCTTTGCTAGAAAAATCACCCTCTGACATTTTCCTATTAGATCAATTTGAACAAACTTAGATCAACATATCAGTTCTTATTTCCTTTATCATTTCAAAAGTTTATCGAATAAACTATTGGATCAATAAAGGCAAATGATACATACAAGTAAGAACTGATGATATGTTGGTTTAAGTTTGTTCAAATTGATCTGATCAGAAAATGTTGGTAATTTTCTCAGCAAAGATCCTATATTATATACAATAAAACTTTTGATTATATATAGCAACATAAATTAATTAAGAAAACAAAGGAATTCTTCACATTTTATATAGGGTGGATTCCAGTCAATTTAACTATTTAACCTAATATACACAAAGATTTCCATATAACTTATTTATAAACTGTATTTAAACTTTCGTGCAATAAAATTTCATTTATACGCATATGTTGGATTTATGTGCTACTTACTATATGCATGAATAAATAAATTTTAGAATTAGGGTTTGGTATTTAGCATAATTGAGTACCAGTATTTATGTTTAGTATCAGTATTGAGAACCAGTTACATTGTTGAAATATAAGTTTACATTATAAACATGCTATCCATCCATATAATTTGAAGCTTACAACTTAATGTCAGATTTAACTTATTGTATTGTGCATGCTCTCATGTATTCGACAGTAACAAACCATTTTAAGGAAAATGGTTATCAGGAATATGAGATCTAAAGTGTTACCTCAGAATCTTGACATCCCAAATCCTGATACTCAAAATCCCGAAAACAAAATTCTAATAGTACCAAAATTCTGATAGATTAAATTCCAACAATACTAAAATTCTATACCATATCAGAATTTTAAACCTTGGGATTCTGAGGTAAAACAAAGATCTACTAATTTGGATGATGGGCATTACTATTCATACCTCCTATTTTTGCTATTTGTACCCTTTTTATATAAAAGTATTTTATGATTATGTTGTATTAGATGAATAGAATAACATATTTTTAGTTACAGATGATTTATTATATAATTTTATTTAATTAGGTATTATAAAATTATTATGCAATAATAAGTTAAAATAATGTTTTTTACATGGGAGGAGGTATGAATAGCAAAAATAGAGGGTATAAAAAGTAATTTCCTAAAAATTAATCAAAATAATTTAATTTTAAAAAAACAAAATAATAAATAAAAATAAAATTTGTATATTAATAACATTTTGTGACAATTATATTAAAAGTTACAAAAATAATAACAAATTAATTATATTTAAATTTAAAATTAAATTTCTTAATATTTAAATTTTATTTCAACTTATATAAATTTATAATTAATAAAAATTTAATTTTAATATGATCTGGTGCAAAAAGATTTGTATATCAAAAAAAATTTAATAAAAAATTTTTATACATATAAGTTTAAATTTTTTTTAATAAATATAATCAACAAGTTTTGGAAAATATAACTATAAAAAATAAATTATTATTTGTCATTAGAATCGTCATAGTTATCAGATGACAAAGATTCATCTGTTAAATCATCCATTAAAATTATTTGATGATCAAATTCCAAATATTTTTTCACATTATTAAGCAATTTATGCCAAAATTCAGTAATTATGTGTGAATTTATTTTTTTATTAAAAGCAAATAAAAGCTTGTTTCTAATATCTAGGAAACTTGCATGCAGACCTGATCTTAATACCTTATTTTTTACAATTGCCCAAATGCCTTCGATTGGCTGAAGCTTACAATAATATGGAGGGGTAAAAAAAACCTAATGTTGGTACTTTTTAGCTATTTCTACACATGTGAATGAAACTTTTTCTTTATTGTTTTTTACAAATTATAAAAGTTCTGCTTTATATAAGTTATCAGAACATTTTATATTTTTTTTGGTTAGCCAATTTATAATTTCTTGTTTTTTTGTTTTAGATGATGGAATTTGTTCAACATGTCACTTATGATACTGTGCGCCATCCATGTGAATATCAACAGAACCATATTTATTAGCAATTAATGCACAAAGTTTATTAAATAAATTTTCAAATATGTCAGCATTAAAATTGCCATGATAGTCAACCTGATTTGGAACAAGATTAGCATTCTTGATTACATCAGGAATATTTTCTCATGCATCTGCATTATTTCTTTTATGCCCATGATTTCCTGGTAGTTTAATTGATGGATCCCAAATATGTACTGAGTTTGGAATAATTTTACCATCAAGCTTATTAGTATTACCATTACGAAAAACAATTATTGCTCCAAAAATTACTACTAGAGGGTCATGTCCTGGTGTATAAACAACACCTTTATGAGGAAGCCAAGTATTAGGTGAGTTTTGATTCAAGTGACAATAAGATTCTTCTATAAAAACCTCTGGATGATGTGGTACATTGTTATTACCTTCAATATTAGCAAAATGATATTGAAGATATCAATAACGAAATGCAACATTATTTGGTGGTTCATGAAGTATATTTCTTCGTTCACCATGGCCATAATAATAGCCTAAACACTTTAATATTTGAAGAAGTTTCCATTTAGTTAAAACAAACCCATTATCTGATAAAAAGTTTAATAAAATTGGTGTAGATAATTGCATGCCAATACTGTTTGCATATAAAATTTTATCATGTAAAAGTGCTGTAATTTCTTCTTTTGGTTGTACTTTAGGTCGTTCAAGATTTTTGGAAGGTGAAAATGAACCATCATTATGTTTATTCCAATCAGCTACCACATTTCCAACAGTACCTTCTGAGACATCCAGAACTAGGACAACTTGCTTGCGTAATGAGAGTTTTTGATGTTGTTTATCTATTAAAGTAGCACCAGAAAAATATTTGTGAACATTAATTATCATTCGCTTTTCATTCTCTGTAAGCAGTGAACCATCTCTTTTTTCACTAGAAGTAGACATTATAAAATGCAAAAAAAATTAATGTGCTATTGTTCTATATATGCTTTATAAATAAATATAAAAAAAATGACATTAATAAATACTTTGTATAAATTACATAATACTCAAATTATTGGATTAAATTTGATGTACAAATCTTAATACACCAGACCATATATAACATTATTAATAAATTAATAATTAATAAATTTACAACATAATATTTAATATAGTTAAATATTAATAAAAATTTTGATTTATTATAAAACTTAAAAATATAAAGTTTGGATGTTATAACTTAGCTGTTAAGCTTTTAGACTTATTACAAACAAAATAAACGGCTTGATTTAACTAGAAATGAAATATATTTTATAATCTAATTAGAAGTCTATAATTAGATATAAAGGCTTGTAATACAAGCTCAAGTAAATGCCTGTTTGAATTAAGAATTTTTAGAAAAAGATTAACATATAAAATACAAGTATTATATTTAATAAAAGAAGCAATAAATACAAAAAGACCTGTAAAAAACGATTGGTTTTATTAATCAAAAATGTCTCTGACAAAAGAAAGCTGTAATAAATATAGTTGTGAGATTTACTTCTATCTTAGTAAAGTCTATATTACAGATAAAGTAACCCAAAGACTCAATGTATATTAAATTAAGTTTGATATTAAAAAAAAAGTATTAAAAATTAAAGACTTTAAATAAGAAACCCACAGGTGGGTTTTAGGTATGGCAATTAGCAAGTAACTTTCAAGGAAAACCTTTATCTAAACAATGATTATAATTGTATGTATGACTAAAGATGGGAAAAATGCGTATTTTTCAGAAAACTGCACATGAATGCACATGACTGCGCATTCATGCACATGCATGCACACTTTTTGTTGGATAAAATTCAACCTAATTTCAAATTGTTATTCAATCATTTGCATACATTATAAGGATAATATATTTGTATTTTTAGACTTAAAACATAATAAAAATTTGGCACAAAAGTTATTCCTTAGTCCAGCCTGCATTATAATGGTGATGGGCCAAAATTATTTTAATTCTAGCTGAATTAATCATTAACTAGCAATGAAAAAATGTGCATTTTTTGCTATACTAAATTCAATCTAATACGAATTATTATTCTATTACTTACATTATAGAGTAATATACTTGATCTTTAGACTTAAGACATAATAAGAATTGGGTATAAAAGTTATTCTATAGTTGTAGTCCAAATTATATTGATCATGGGTCAAAATTAGTAACTGAAAAATCCACATTTTTTTTGCTAAACTAAAATCGATTTAATTTAAATTACAAAGAATTATATGTGTGATTTTTTTAGATTTAATATATATTAAATTAGTTGTTGATTTCAATTATTATAAATACTAACTTTTGGGTTTAGAAGTTATTTGTAATTAAAGTATAAACTTGTATTTTATGTTAAAAATTTTATTTATTTAAATAATATATATATAGACATAAAATAATAGTTATAAAATAATGGATATATTATAATTTATAAATTTTAAAATATTATTTTTCTAGTATCTTATAATATAATAGGTTAATAAATAAATACATAGTGGTTCTTAATATTATAAAGACCATAGTTCTAGTTTTTTGCTTCATTCTTAAAAGTTTTATTATACCAAAAGTTCTGCAATATTAATTTATAATAAATTAGATATTATAATAAATCATAATTTAGTGTTGTTATAATTTTTTATAGTAATACCTATTATATTGATAGTTCATTATATTGAGAACCACTACAAAAAAAAAAAAAAAAAAAAAAAGTTATTTTATATATTTAATTGTTAGTTTTTTTGTTAAAAAAATCTTCCATGAATTCATCAGCTTCTGAAATTTCATCTATAAAATTATCTTCATTATTGGTTTCAAAATTTTCTTCTTCAAAATCCTTTATATTATTTTTTTCAAAATATTCAGTATTATTTTTTTCAAGTTCTTCATTATTGCTTTTTTCAAAAATTTCTTCATTTTCAAGATATTGAGTAAAATTATTTCTTATTTCTTGTAATTCACTATCTAATTCATTATCTAAATTAAAATAATTTGATTAATTTTTAGTTAATTATAAATAATTGTTATAAAGTAAAGTCAAACTTTATTTAGTAAGTTAATTATTAACCTTCATTTTCTGAATTATCTATTAAAATATTATTCAAACTAATATCTAAATTATTATCTAATTTTTTATTAAAATCATTTTTAAAATTACTATCAGCATTATCATCAGAATTGTAATCAAAATCATTTTCAAAATTACTATCAGAATTATTATTAGAATCATTATCAAAATCACTATTAGAGCTTTCATTACTATCTTCAGAATCATCTATTTCAAATAAATCTTCAAATCTATTATTTAAATTATCTGAGCCTTCTTCTAAATTATTATTATCATCATCATTTAAGTCTTCTTCATATTCAATTATATCAGCTATATTTTTATTATCTATATCTTTACATTTATAAATCTTATTTGCTATGTGTGGTAATTGTAATCGATAATTACTATAGATATAAACTAATTTAAAAACTTTTTTTAAACTAAGTCTATTTCTTTTTTTACTATGAATAAAAGAAAAATTAGACCAATTTCTTTCTGATGCTGCTGATGATGTTGGAATTGATAATATTCTGCATGCTAATTTTGTTAACTCAGGTGCAGCTTCTTGAAAATTTCCTGTCCACCATGTAGTAGGATTAACTTGATTTACAGAATCCCAGGCTAATTTGTTATTAAATAGTTCACTTTTAGTTTTGTATTTAAGAATTTGTTGCCAAATAATTGATGAATTATTATTATAATATTTAGTAAGAAAGTTAGAAATAGTTGTCATATAGTTATTAGATAATCCACATCCCATAACTTGAGGATTAAGAAAATTAGCTACTTCAATAACTGGGTGATATAGTTTAGTCCATCTATTTTCTAATATTTTTTAATATCAGATCCTATTTAATTAATTAAAATAAAATTATAAATGTTATAAATTAATGTTTAATAAATTATTAAAAATAGATTTTTTAAATACAAGTAATTCTTATTAATATCAATTCTGTTAATATTAATCTAAGCTATATAACAAATATTTATTAATTTTTATATATTAAAATTCTCTTATATATATTAATTTTAATATAATTTTTTATTAATATGAGCTACTGTTAATAGAAATTAGACAAATTAATATTTTTAAAAAAATCAACACCTTAACTTATATAATTTATATCTTAATAAATTTTAAAACTAATTTAATAATTTAATAATATAAAAAGCTTAGACCTTAAAAATACTTTAAATATTAAATAACTAATCTATTTTCAAAAATCATTAAGATATAAACTATAAAAGTTAAGATATTAGCTTTTTTTAAAATATTAATCTGTTAAATTTCTATTAATAATAGCTTATAACATTATTAATATAATTTAAAATCAATTTAAATAGATTGATATTAACAAGATAATTTGTATAATTTAGTATAACTATAAATTAATATTAATAAATTAAAATATTACTTACTATTTTTATTTAAATTAAGACAATTTTGATATCATTCATAAAAATATGATAATTTTGGATCATCACTTTCAAATATACTAATTCCAATTATTATTTTCTTTAATATTTTAATTAATTTTATAAAATTATTCCAATAAGTTTTACTATTT